TGCAGAACAAAGAGATGTCACCTAACCCCCTGGCTGATTGCAGTGTGCAGTGTGGTAGGTGCTAAGATTTTTCTTAGCTACATTGACAACAAAGTGGTGCTTGTAAAGGATTACTCAAAGGTTCCATGTGCCCAGTGCTTAGCCATGCTCCAGAGCAGTAGGCTGACATATCCATCTAAAATAGGGTTTTTAATTTTTTTTCTTCAGACTATGAAAGAGGCCCAGTGGACTCTAAAAGAGGCCCAGTGAGTGGAACAATCTATAGTAACTGCTAAGGGAATAGATTGAAACTGACAACTTAAAAATCAAAAAGTTCACATCTGCTAAACTTTAATCAGCCATGTAAATTGTTTCTGTAATATATTTTAGTGTACAGTTAAGTCATGTAGTGTGCATGAGGTCAGTACTGCTTTTAAGTAGGCTTGTTTATTTAAAAAACTCAAAAACGAGAAGTTGTTTTGCTCACTCAAGTTGGAGTTTATTGTAAAACTTGGAAGCCAGAAAAAGAAAGCAGTGTTTTTGTGCTGCAAGTATATGAGGCAGGTCAGGAGTGAGCCAGAGAACGCACAACCATGCTGTTTTCTTCTTTCTGTCCAAAATGGTCAGCAGAAGGCATTCGTGGGGATCTGAGGTTATGATTGCCAGATGATACCCCAACAAATGGCCACAGACAGTCATGCCAAGTGTGCATCTTCATTCTTATTCCTTTGCAGTGATAAAAATAACTGTAGAAAGAAGCAGCTGGAAAGCAAAGTGGAAATTGTGTTTGATGGCAGGTGACATTTGTTATTCAAGGGTCAGTTTGATGCCCATGGAAAATAAATTGTTGTTTTGCTCTGCCCTACATCATGGAGTGCTATGCATGAAGTCTCAGGCTAGGACTACCCTTGGGCTAGCTGTGCAGTATCCAAGCGGTGAGCCAGTCCTGTTCACCCATAGGGCACATCCAGCCAACCACCACTGGGTCACGGAACCATCACCCAGGCACACTCTTACCAGGAGCTGAGACCACCCTAACCTGCAAATGAGGAAATAGGGATCTCCAGAGAGGCCACGTGACTTGCTAAGCTCTGTGAAAGGGCTCCACAATTCTCTCATAAAGTGAGATTACAACCACACAAAAAAATCTTAGAAAATTATCCTAATCTGCCAAGTCAGTATATTTTTAAACTGATTAAGTCCTCCTAAGTGCAGCTCAGTTATCCTCTCAGGAATCCTTCCAGGTCCCTTGGCTGACCTAAGAACTCTTCTCTTCATATGTATCTCCTGTTTCTCTTCTCCATAGCTCTTGATATGTTTTGTAGGAATTAACTGGTTATGTTTCTGTGTAAAAATGCCTTCTGTACATTCATCTTCAAAATTCATGCCACATTTGTTTGTTTTGATCTTCATACTTTGTAAAAAATGCTGTGGTTAAAAGCAATATTAACTTCCCCTCCATCTACTTTTGCAATAGTAGTTTCTTTAATGATGCCTGTGAGAATGCTAAAATGGATGACATCAGGAGGCTCTGGTGGGTTACAGCCCACAATCTATAGGCATTTAAATTCTGACAATAAAGAGTTGATGGGAGCCAGATAAATGCTACCAACCAAACATGGACAGAGTAAAGAGTTGATGAGAGCCAGATAGATACTACCAAACAAACTGCCCATGCTACTGTGATGGCAGCTGAAGAGAAACAATGTCCTCTTTCTTCTTTAGGAAAGAGAATAGACTACCATGTGTAGAACTTAAACTGCTCTGCCTGAACAAACAAACACCATGAACATAAACAAGATCTTAGTGTTAATGAGATTACAAGTTTGGTTCATTTTTAATAGTTACTTTTTTTTTCTATTAAAATACATCCAACATACAAACATATAAAAAAGGATATACCCACCAGTCAGCCTTATTAAATCTTAACTTTTGATATTTTCTATTCTTTTCCTTCCCTGCCAGGAGGCCACTGTTATGAATTGGGTATTTATCATTCAGATTCTAAATTTAACTCTTTGGGGTCCCCCCTTAATGCAAAGGTTTCTGTTTAATGGGACAGGAGCTGTCTTGCAGCAATAACATCTTAAGTTTTGGAGCCACTGTGAGATGACTAACTATTTGCAGTTAGGCAGTGAAATAAGAGTGCTAAGAGCCAAGACTTTTCAGACCTGGGATTCACAAAATGGGATTTCCCCAAGGGACAGGAGGGATGGTGGCCCCTTTCTATCAGTTCTCAAGGTAAACCTCAGATAGTTTGAGGAAACATATGGTTTAGGGTTAATGCTTCCCACTTTTTTTCATTATAAAGGCAAATTAAAGACTAAATTTTTCTTTATAGACTCATGTACACCATTCACACACACACACTCACACGCATAGACACACACCTCCTAATGAAGAGGTTTAATGAACTTACATTATTATACTTACTCTTTAAAGAAAAAATATTAGTTGCCTGCCATATACTCATTTTGTTTTGTTGGTTTTATAAAATCTATTTTGTTCAGATAAATTGATTTCACATAACATTAGTAGATAGGAACCCACAGGTAAAAACAAAAACAAATGTACAAATTAACAAGCTAAACCAACTCCAATTTAGGGAACCATTGTTTGTTCTGTGGAGCAAAAGCTTTTTAAGAGGTATATTTAGTTGAACTTTGCAGAACATTTTTGTAAAAAGCTTTTCTCCATTACTGACCTAAGCATGAAGATTTATGCCACAACTTACTAATAACAAATCTCATGTAAAACTAAGCAGAATCCACATTTCTTTGGGAGGGGGGTCCTCTTCTGTGTCATGCTCTGTCTCTTCCAGCTCCTCGTCTCTCCAGTCATTGCTGTGAGGCAACCTGCCTAGATTGCATAAACACAACTCAACCACAGTAACTCAACTATACTTTATAAATTCCCAATTGTTAAGCCACAAAATCAACCTTTCTAAATAAAACTGAGTGTTAAGTCAAATTGACAAGTGAAAAAGAACAGCTTTGGAGCTTTAACCCTTCTTTTCATCACACTTTACCGCTAGCCAGTACTAAATAAGGTCCACACGAGGAACACACGATGTAAACATTGCATTCTGCTCACTAAATGTCATCAGTTTTGCTCACAGGAGGTGCTGATAATGATCACCATAGCAGGGCACCAAATAGCACCTTGTTTAAAAGAAGTTTAAGGGTTGTGGGATGTAGCTCCCCAGTAGAGCCCTTGCCTAGTACATACCAGTCCTGAGTTCAATCCCCAGCACCTTAAAAAAAAAAAAGTTCATATAAGGGTATTCCAAAAGGTGCAGCTTTCCATCCAGGGAAACAAAGGGCAAAAGTATACTTACTGGATATTAAACAAGCAATCTTTGGAGATTTTGAGGCATATTGATTCCAAGAGACTAGAATGAATCAGCTTGCTCTAAAATGTGACCAGCCACTTTAAACGTTAATGAGGCATTTGGTTTCTAAAATCTGGAAGAAGGAGATTTTGTTAAGCCAGCTATTTCACAGAAAAGGAAATGCAGTTCTACCTCAGGAAATCTAAATGTATTCTGGATGAGAGAGCAGAGAATAATCCTGCTGGTTTTCAGGCAGAGTAACAAAGGTGACAATAGCAATTTAGTGACTGTGAGTGATGTACAGAAAAGCAGTTCTCAAACTTTTTGGCCTTTCGTCCCTTTCACTTAAAAATTATTAAGAACTCTTAAGGAAACATTGCTTATGTGGGTTATGTCGGTTAATTTTTTTCATTAGAAATTAAAACAGAAATTAAAAAAATATTTGTTGATTCTAAGTAGAATTTGATTCATTAAAAATAAAATATAATTCATTTAAAATGAAATATAATTTGACTCATTAAAAATAATAAGTCCATTGTATTTGAACATGAACATACTTTTGTATTAAAAATTATGTTTTAGAAAATCTGTGAGGTCAGGCGCTACTGGCTCATGCCTATAATCCTAGCTACTCGGGAGGCAGAGATCAGGAGGACTGAGGTTCAGAGCCACCCCAGGCAAATAGTTTGCAAGACCCTATCTTGAAAATACCCAATATGAAAGGGCTGGCAGAGTGGCTCAAGTGGTAGAACACTTGCCTAGGAAATGTGAGGTGCTACATTTAAACCTCAGTGCCACCAATAAAAAATCCATTAAAAGAGTGACATTGTTTTATATCTTTGCAAATCTCTTCAATGCCTGGTATAATAGATGATACTGGGATTCTCATATCTGCTTCTGCACAGAACCTGTTGTGATGTATTGTTTGGGCTGATGTACAGGAAGAGAATTTAGCTCACACAGATAAGGAATGGGACCAGCCTCATGAAATGGTCTCAGGGATTCCCAGGGACCCAAGGAATATACTTTGAGGACTGCCATCCTGTAGAACAGTGTAGGAGAATTTATGTTGAAGAGTGGCTCTCTCTGAGTATCAAGATTATTAGGGATCCTAATTTTTCCCATTTCATTTGTTCACATTTCCTACAGTGAGGGTGGATTACTTGTGCAACCTGGAAATAGGAAAGAAGTGACTGAGGGAAGATTACAGAGGCCTTAGACTGGGTGGGGAAGTTTACACTTGGAAAACCAAAGAGCCACATAACTTCTTAAATAGGAAAGTGATGTGATGAAAGTTGTGTTTGGGAGTAATGGAATGAGCATGGGAAGGGAGGGGAGGGAGAGAAGGCACTGTGGAGTCACTGTGGGTGGGTGACAGGCTGGACCTCAGGTGTTGGTAGAAACAGAGAGGAAGGGACAAATTTTAGAGGAGATTTTGAAGGCAGTGAAGAAGGTATGGATGAGGGTAAAAGGAGAGATCTGAGCCAAAGATGACTAGGAGTTAAATGAAAACATTGGAACAGTGTTTTCTTCCTTCTGTTCTTCTTGTTCTTCTTCAACCTTGTCTGATAATTACCTTGTCTAAGCTCATGGAAGTCTTGTTCTGTTCTTTCAGAGTTGGCCAGCCCAGTCCAGGGCTTCAGAGGAAGTCAACACACTTCCAAACTTGAATCAGTCCCCACTGCTTCCAGAAGAAAAGACAGATTTGTATCTATGACATCCCTGGACAGTTATGTGCTGCTGACCTGTCCCAGGCCCTGCAGGCTGTGAAGGGCAGTGAGCCTGATTTCTGTGTGCAGGACACCTGCGGTCCACTTCCTATGCACTCCAGCACTCCCATCAGCTCTCTCTTCTCCTTCACCAGCCCCGCAGTGAAGAGACTGCTCGGCTGGAAGCAAGGAGATGAAGAGGAGAAGTGGGCGGAGAAGGCAGTGGACTCTTTAGTGAAGAAATTAAAGAAGAAGAAGGGAGCCATGGATGAGCTAGAGAGGGCTCTCAGCTGTCCCGGACAACCCAGCAAATGCGTCACGATCCCCAGGTCCCTGGATGGGCGCCTGCAGGTGTCTCATCGCAAGGGTTTGCCCCACGTTATTTATTGCCGAGTGTGGAGGTGGCCTGACCTCCAGTCTCACCATGAGCTGAAGCCGCTGGAGTGCTGTGAGTTCCCTTTTGGCTCCAAGCAGAAAGAGGTGTGCATTAACCCTTACCACTACCGCCGGGTGGAGACGCCAGGTGGGTGCTGCTCACCATGTCCAGGTGTTATTTCAAACTTAGGATGTTATGCCCCATTGGTGGAAGATAATGGAGTCCCTGCAAGACAAGGACTTCTGCCAATAGGGAGAAATGAGAGGGATGTTCTTTCTTTCTTCTTTTTTTTTTTTTTTTTTGGCAGTACTTTTGTTTGAACTCAGGGCCTCATGCTTGTTAGGCAGGCACTCTACCACTTGATCATGTCTTCAGCCTGGCAGGTTTGACTTAGAAGGACAAATCCAAAATGTTGTCATTAGAACAAAGATGTTTTATTTCAATATACACCTAAGCTTTGTGTGACTTTGAAAAATGCAGTTTCATATGGATATACTTAGGAGGAATTCTCCTAATCTCTTCCTAGTTCTTAAGGGCTTGAAAGGTCTTTAAATGACCTTGAAAATGATTAGCTGTAAAAAATAAACATCCTCCTTCCTCCCACCTCCCACCTCCTTGACTGAACCAAACTGAACTATACTGAGCTAAAGTGAAAATGGGTTTTTGGTTCCACTTTGTCCAAACTCAGGTACATGGGAAGTGACTCATCTCTGGGTCTGAAAACAATCAATGAAAGAGTTGCAGAAAGTCATCCCAGGGCTAAAATAACAGGGGTTAGGAAAGATTGGTAGTTATTCTTAAATAAGGTTTTTGGGGTTTGTTTGATTTTTATTTTTGGGAAATGGAACCCAGGGCCTCCTGCATGCTAGGCAAGTGCTCTACCACTGACATATACCCTCAATCCTTAAATACAGCTCTAAATATAGGAAAGCCCTTCTCTAAAATTCTTCATCCAGCACTGTGCATATGTGTATCAGTGTATTTTCCCTTCAACCCTGTTTTTGGAGACCTCTGTTTGTCTTCGTTCTTTCACGTTGACTGTAATAGGTTTACTGTGATTCTCTTTGGACTGAGTATTCCTGTGGCCTTTCAGGCAGGAGTACGATATTTATAGGAGCTTGTCTTTCTCTCTCTGATTGGCCATCTACCTCATTCCAGGAACCCAGGGGCAGAAGCATTAGCTTAGGGAAATCGCCCGTGACCAACTAGGAAACAGTGTGGTCTGGGTAGCAGCTCAAGCATTCAGTTTACCTTATTGCTGTGTTGGATAAGTATTTACTCCCAGCCCACATCAGTAATAGACAAGTGACCTTCCAGGGTCCCAAAACTTGCCATCCCAAATGATTATCAAGATGTCACCTCCCTGTGTGTGGAACCTTCCTACAATCTTCCATCCAGGGATTAAGACTTGGAGATGGTGATGAGAAGGCCCCATGCTCTTGGCAGATCTGATGCATTTCTCCTAAATCAAGGTGGTCTTTGCTTTCTTCCTTTCTTTTCTATTTCTCTTTGAGCTCTCTTTTCATATTAAAAAAAAAAAGTCAGTGGAGCATGACAGTACATGCCTGCAGTCCCAGTTACTCCTGGAGGCTTGAGGCAAGATCTCTAGAACCCAGGAGTTCAAGGCCAAACTGGGCAAGATAGCAGGACTCCATGTCAAAAAAAGCACAAAAGTTAATAATGTTTATATAAAAAATGGCTTCATTCCTTTTTCCTCAAAGATTTGAGTTGTCTTAGGCATGCAACATACATATCCAAACAGAACTATGCTCATTAAAAAATAATTCCTCTCTTCCTGAATATTGTAGCTACAAAACATGACAGTTTGTAAAAAGTACAAAATGTATGTAGTTTTCCTTTTGGATACTCAAAAACTTAATTTAAAAGAATTATTTTGCTATTTTAGCTGTACAGAGCTATATAAAGCTTTGTGTCACCCTTGAAATACCATGCCACTGGGATTGGAGATGTGGCTCAGTGGTACAGAGCCTGCTTTGCAAGCATGAAGCCCTGAGTTCAAACCCCAGTGCCACCAAAACATACATAAGTAAATGAATAAATGTACAAATGCCTGTTGTTGGTGGCATGTCTAATGCTTGTCACAGTGTGCCAAAAATTCACTGGCCTTTGTGAAAAGCTTTATACCTTTTAAATCTATTTTTTAGAATAATAACATCGATATTCTACATATGTAGATAGATTTTCATATCATTATCTTTAGGTTTGAATTTCCAGAAAGATGCATCAAAATTATATTAATTTAAAGCAACATTTGAGCTACACAGATTTTTTTTTTTTTTTACTACTAAGAGAATTTTTTTCTTTTTTATTTTTTAGCAGTTCTTGGGTTTGATTTCAGGACTTTGCACTTGTAGCAGAGGTGCTCTACTTTTTGAGCTATACCTCTAGCCCTTTTTGCTCTGGGTATTTTTGAAATATAGTTTTGCTTTTTGCCCAGGCCAGCATGTACCATGATCCTCCCAGTATCAGTCTCCTAAGTAGCTGGGATGACAAGTGGGTGCCACTGTGCCCAGCTATTAGTTGAGATGGGGTCTCACAGTTTTTGCCTGGGCTGGCTTTGAACCCTGATCCTCCTCATCTCTGTCCCCCAAGTAGCTAGGATTACATGTGTGAGCCGCCAGTGTCCAGCCTAACAGATCTTTTTAATAAAACAAGCATGTTTTACATCTAGCTATCTAGCCACGTTCACAGTACATATTTTGAGAATAATGTTAATGTTAAAACAAGTTTGCCAAGTTCTTAATTATCATAAAAGCTTAAGTCTTGCCTTTGAAGTTTCATTTTTTGCCATGTATTTTAAGTATATCGAATGCTGCCTCCTGATATTCTTTTCACTCACATGTCCACTCAATCTATTCTACTGCTTCTCAGATTATTTGTAGTAAGGGATCAGTTTTTGTTTTTGAAATTTCCAATCTTTCAAGTCAATCCTTTTGTAATACAAACGATTCCCAACACTATACAAATGAATCACTAGGTAAATGAAATTTTCAAAGGACTTGCAAAATATAAGCCCAATTAAAATTACTCCATCAAATTGCCATGAGAAGTTTCTAGATACTTAACTCTGAGTCTCAAGGTAGTCTTTTCACAGACTGGTACTGAGCAGCTGATGAAGTGTTTCTGGTGCCAGGCATGAGTCTGCAGTAACTGCAAAAATGTTTTCACTGTGCATGGTGATTTTACTGTAGGTGCTTGGAGGCTTTCATGAGCATAAGTTCCCCTTATCATAAAATAATTATGCTATATCAAAACCAAAAAGAGTGAAAAGGTTTTGCTTTGTACCCCAGGTGGCCAGTAATGACTTGTGCAGTTTCTTCCTGTGGTACATTAAGTCATGGCATGAAACATGCCACCAATGACATGGTATTTAAAAGCTGGCACAAAATAGGAATGGATATCTGCAAACTCACTACGTCATATCTGCAAGCAGTAGTTGATATGTGAAAAGAGAATTAAGTAATTAGGGATAGCTGTGTTTTGAGTGGAAGTATTTAAAAATATCAGTACAAATTTAAGGTAACAGAGTCACTCAGGCCAAATCACAGCCAGAATAATGCCATCAGTTTTCTTTATGAATACTCACTTTTGTTTTTTCCCAGACAGTAAGAATATATTATCAGGCCAGTTGCTGTGATCCCAGCTTCTCAGGAGGCTAAAATCAGGAGGATCGCTGTTCAAGGCCAGCCTTGGTAAAAGTTAGCCGACCCCCATCTCAAGCAATAAGCTAGGTCTGATGACAAGCGCCTGTCATCCCAGCTACACAGAAGGTATAAGTAAGAGGATAGCAGTCCAGGCTGGCCTGGGCAAAAAATGTTGAGACCCTATTTGAAAAATAACTGAAACAAAAAGGGCTGAGGTTGTGACTCAAGTGATAGAGCACCTGCCTAGCAAGTGCAAGACCCCGAGTTCAAACCCGAGTACACCCACACCATAAAAGAATAGATTACCAAGATATTTGTCACGGTAAATAAAAGTTATCATTTATTTTCTCTGGGATATGCAGTCTCTTGAAAAAATAAAATCCCTGCAATCAGAAGGGTATGAAGCATTAGTTCCTCAATGTTAGGAATACACTGTAGATATCTGACATTAAAACTGAAGTCAGACTATTCAAATTCTCTGTCAAAAAAGGTGTTTATTTGAACATCACTAACATTGTTATAATGAAGAAATATTGATAAAGAAGCTATTTGTTATTTACCATGTCAGCCCCTCTCTGAAGACTATTCATAAGGCAAATCATTTTATTTTAATTCCTGAGTAGTCATGAAATACATTAAAGGAAGCTTCACAACTTTTCCATTCCACTTTTGCATGGTAATATTTGATCTCTAATGTCTTTAGGCAATGTATAATGATACTAGTTTGTAGAGAGGAAAGAAATCCTTTGATTCTCTGCCAACCTCACCTATAGTGATTTTCATTTAAAACCTTTCATTTACCTGTTTGAGTTTATTTTCTGTTCATGGAACTGAAAATTATTGCTTGTAAAGAAAGAGATAAATACATCATGGTAAGAAGCAAATGATAGGTTTTGTGATCAATGTTATTATCTGATTACTATTTTTATTATCTATTCCAAAATACTTAAATTTTTAAAGATCTTATATTTTTTAGTTTGTTAACTTTTTTTTAATTGGTCATGGGGCTTGACCTCAGGGCCTCACACTTGCTAGGCAGTTGCTTTACCACTTAAGTCACTACACCAGCTTTGTGTGTGTGTGTGTGTGTGTGTGTGTGCTGGGTATTTCTGAGATAGGGTCTTGATATTTTCCCAGGGTGGTCTTAAACTATGGTTCTCCTGATCTCTGCCTCCTGAGTAGCTAGGATTGTAGATGTGAGCCACCGGTACCCAGTTTGGACATTCACTTTTTATGAAAGTTTTTTTTTTAATCAATCATGGCATGTAGTAACTAATCAATAATGTGATTAGAAGCAAGAGCTTTCCTATCCATCCCAAGAAACATCTTTTACCTATTTAGTAACCCTCTGTGATTACCAAAAATCTAGATAGGGGCTGAGGGTATGGCTTGAGTGGTGGAAGCGCTTGCCTGGAACATGAAATGTTCTAAATTCAATCTCCAGTACTGCAAAAAAGAAAAAAAATTTAGATAATATCCTTATTGTCTGTATAATTTATCACCTTTCTAACATAAAAGATGAAGATTTAGTTATTTTACTTTTTGCCTTCCTCTTCTCAGTCCTTGATATCTACATTTTAGTTCCTGGTGTATGTGAGTTTTTGGTTCTTCTCCTAGCTCCTATTGTGGATTTGGGAGTGAGAACTGTTTTCCCTCAGAAGGGCGCTGGTCCCTTGCCTTCTAGCATCCAGTGTTGAGGTAGGAAGTTGGTGCTTATTTCTCCCTAGGTGACTGAGGTGATCTTCTGGGAGGCTTTGGAATATTCCATTTACCCTTTGATGGTTGGAATGCAAGATGGTGTAACTGGGTCTGGATTTGTTTTCATCTAGAGGGCTCTACACTCTGTGTTTCTTTCAATCTGAAGACACAAATCCTTTTTAGCTTCTGGGTTTGTTTGTTTTTTTTATCATTTTAAAAAAATCATTTATCTCTGTTTTTTCTGCTTCTCCGTCTGGAATTTACATTGGTCACAGGCTGTCCTTCAGCCCTTATGCCAGGCACTGTGACATGTTAGGCATCACTAGTGGCTTCCAGTGCCTGGACAAAGCTTACCTTTGAAAATTTGAGTCCATTCATACTTTTGTATTGACTCAAGGTCAGGGATACTCATGTTCTTTTTAAGAGAATGGAACCCAGAATGGACCTACTAAAATGAGCAAATTAATTTATAGGTTTTCCTATTTCTGCCCATCTTTCACTTGTTCACTTTTCGTATTACTCACCACTTGTATATTGCTAAATAACTTTTGGATCCTCCCCTTTGAATGTGTTCAGTAAGGGAAATAGACTGTTTTTATTTTAGCAGCATTTCTGAGCCTGAAATTGAGGCCGATCACCTAAATAATTCAGCGTGCTCTCTGAAGGAAAATACTCTGGGCATCACTTAGATTTCATGGCAAGCAATAGAAACCATTGTGCCTTTTAAAAGACAGTATTGGCAGAATTAAAGAAAGATGCAAACAATCAGGTCTCCCAAAGGCCAAGTGTTAGGATAGCTTTAGCCATTGCCAAGGTAGGAGTGAATAGGCAGGCTCTTTGGAGTGCTGATCTTTCTCTAAACTTTGTCATTGATCTTTGTGACTTTCTGCTTAAGATGCAGGTAGCAAGGAGAAAGGGCATTACTCACATACTCACTACTTGAGTGGAAATAGAACCTTCAAGGACAACAGGAAGAAGGAATTGTGGCAGGGCAGTTCCCCAAGGCAAGAGTTTATATCATCAACAAATGACCAGATGAAAATATCAGATATCCCCTCTATTCTGTCGTCATGTGCAGTGTCCAGTTCTCACTCTCTTGTTCCTTTTTGCTCCTAGTGCTACCCCCTGTGCTCGTGCCAAGACACAGCGAATATAATCCCCAGCTCAGCCTCCTGGCCAAGTTCCGCAGCGCCTCCCTGCACAGCGAGCCACTCATGCCCCACAACGCCACCTATCCAGACTCCTTCCAGCATCCTCCATGTTCTGCAGTGCCCCCCTCGCCCAGCCACGTGTTTTCACAGTCCCCGTGCTCTGCCAGCTACCCCCATTCCCCAGAAAGTCCTTCGGAGCCAGAGAGTCCATATCAACACTCAGGTCAGTAAGAACCATGGTTGATGTGAAAGATCCCAAAACAATTATTTATGGTGGACAATCATACTTGTAATCGGTACAATTAACATTCATGCAGTGCCTTACAATTTAAGAGCAATCTCCTCTAGGCCCTTGCATCCTGCCCACCCTCCAAGATGATCAGCACTGTACCCCTTCTGGAGCAGGCCTGCAGCTACATATTTTTGTTCTGGTTTCTGTTTCTAATCCTTTGGAAGCCCTCAGAACCGAAATGGATTTGAACTCCATCCCTGGGATTTTCCATGAATTTTCTTTTAAGTCAGCAGAAATAAGGTTAAAATATTTCTCTAACCCAAGCAGGAAGACATGGCCTGGGGGTGGGCAGAATGATAGATCAGGGTCAGGCCTTTGCTTTCCTTGCCTCTTTGAACAATCACAGGAAGGCTTGGCTATAGAAGATGTGCGCATAACGTCAGTGGAGCAGAGAATGAGCTCTTGCCTCCAGCCAGTGTGCTCTCACTATTTGCTCTTTGAAGGCAGGACAGCAGCTTGAATGGAGAGCTTTTGGGTAACTATTTGCTGAAGAAGCATATGGAAGCAGAAGGGAGAATCTAGCCCACTGCCATATTGCATGAGCTGCCTGCCACACCTGTGAAATGGGTACAAGTTGGAATACAAAAGAGTAATTAATGTGCACCTCATCAGTTGGAGATAAATAAACAGATAATTACCTTAAGTTGCTGAAAAAAGAATTAAAAGATCATCAACATAATCCCTGTCCTCCAAGAATTTATAAAATTTAGGAAGATAAAGGAGTTCCCTCTTCCCTTATTTCTTCTTTTTTTGGGGGGTTTGGGGTTTGATCTCAGGGCCTCACACTTCCTAGGCAGGCACTCTACCACCTGAGCTGATCTGCCAGCCCCTTTTTAAAATGTAGTATTATGTATTTTCGAGATAGGCTCTCTCAAACTGTTTTCCTGGGCTGGCTTCAAACCACAATTCTCTTAATTTCTGCTTCTCAAGTAGCTAGGATTACAGGTGTGAGCCACTGGCATCTGACTGCCTCTTCCCTTTTCAGTTAGTTCTTTTTTCTCTTCAGTGAGTTATTTATATATCCACTTGTACATTTATCCCATTATATTATGTAATTCCTTTTCATTTCCATGCCCAGCATAGAGCCTGAAATGTGGAGGTTGCTCATTGAGTAAAGAAATTACCATATAGGTGTTTGGAACATGGTATTAGAACTCAGACCCACAGATTCAGATTTTATTGACTAGGTAAGTAATGATTGGGCACCTGGTAAGTGTCTAGCACCAGGCCAATGTTAGAAGTGCAATGATGACTAAGACCATGGTCTCTGACCTTCAAGAGGCAGAAACTAATGAGATCATGTAAATATGTCACCAAGTATGACAGAAGTTGCAGCAGTCCAGGCCAACTAGCTACAAGGACTTGAACTAAAGGAGGGATATGAAATTGGAAAGAGGCAGAGAACTGGAGGAGGTGGAGTTGAGAAGATTCAATGTGGAGGTGAAGACTGAGATGCTGGAAAGAAGCGTCAGAGTCATTGCACAGAATGGGAGCAGATGGTTGAAGTCTTGCAGGTGGCTGAGTTCACTGAGAAAGAGGCATGACAGGCCAGGTGTGGTGGTACATGCCTGTAATCGCAGCACTTGGGAGGTGGAGGCATGACAGAGAGTCATTTGAGGACAGGGCCATGTTTAAAGAACAGGATAATTATGTCACAAGATATATATTTACATAATACACACCTGTGCTATTAGAATTTCCTGTACTGACTTTGCATTCTGGCCCTGGTTACACTAACATGTTTCTGTTCTTTGTCCTCTTCCCATCCATAAAGGACAGAGCCCAGCAACCAAGCAGAAGCTGGTTCATTTCTCACCCAAGGCAGAACCTTTTCCATTTCAAAGAGCAGAATTTGAATGATTAGCAGCAAAATGCCAACTGAATAACAGACCCATAGATAAATAAGAGTAAAAGGAACTTCTTTGAGATTAACTGACTCAACCCCTATCTTTTGAACAGTTTTATTCCATTGAGTTGCCCATTTCAAGTTTACAATTCAATGATTTTTTGAATATTAGATTAATTTTCTAAGTTGTGATAAAGCATACCATAAAATTTTTCATTGTAACCATTTTAAGAACACCATCCGTGGCATTAAGCACATTCATCACGTGCTGCATACATCTCCACATCTAAGGCAATTTTTTATCCCCAAACAGAAACTCCACGCCCATTAGGCAGGAGCTCCCCATTTCCCGCCCCCTACTTCTAGTCCCTGGAAAGCTCTAGTCTGCTTTCTGTCTCTATGAATTTGCCTGTTCTAGATAACTCATGCAAGTAGATGCCTATCATATTTGCATTTTTGTACCTGGCTTATTTCACTTAGTAAATTTTTTCACAGTACTTATCAGTACTTCATTTTTATGACTGAACAATATCCCATGGTAAGGATGTACCACATTTTAAAAAATCCGTTCATTGGTTGTTGAACATCTAGGTGTTTCCACCATTTATCTGCTGTGAATAACTCTGCAGTGCACCTTAGCAGGCAAGTGTGAGTGCCTGCTTTCACTTCCTTCGGGTGTGTCCCTAGGAGTGGGGCTGCCAAGTCATAAGGTATTTCTGTGTTCAGCCTCTTAATTTTCTAGGCAGATTTATTCAAGATCCTGCAAAGGGCTACCTTGCCTTAGAATTTTTTCACCAGGGCACAGTCCATTTTCTCAGAAGGAAACCCCTTATCCATGGCTTCCTGTGTGGTCCATGACCCCTTCATTAAAATGGTCATAGGACCTGTTAAAATGCACATGGCAGAACTGGCGGAGTGCTCAAGTGGCAGAGTGTCTGCCTAGCAAGTGTGAGGCCCTGAGTTCAAACCCCAGTACCACCAGAAAAGAAAAGAAAATCAACAGATGGTCTATTGAATCAAAATGTCTGAGGGCAGGGCCAGGAATCTACATTTTCAGCAAGCTCTGCTGATGAATTTTGGGCACACCTGAGTGTGAGAACTACTTGAGTAGACTAAGGTAGATTGGTCTGACCTTTTATGCTGCTGAATTCCACTAGTCCCCTTCTGAATTAACCCAAGGCATGGGAAACAGTTCTGAGACCCTCCCTGAAGTTTTCCCTCTGTCTTGGTGCTTTTGTTGTGTTATAAATTGTTTCCTGAGAAGCCATCATCTCCTGAACACACACTGTTTGCCTAACCATGGTCACTGTCCATCGCAGAACTGATAGTTGGGGAGAAAGACCCTTCGCATTGTGCTTTGAGCACAAGGTTATTATTAGGCTTCAGCTGTTTTGTTTTGGAGCATACCTTGAAGGATCTCAGGGACACATCATCCCTGTGGCTATTGTTATAATCCATGGCAAAATGGGAGCTGAAAATTAAGCTCATTTTGAAGGACCAGCCTCTCTGTGTTTTGCAAGCCAGATAACAGATTGTTCTATTGAGAAAAGCTCAGAGAGAAGCTTATAGATTAGAACAATCTTATCTTCAAGTTATTGGAACTCAATCTTAACTCATAAATCAGAGAAAAAGGTAACTGACCCTTCAGTAGCAATCTTAGAACAACCAGTTAGAACACTCACGATGTCACTTTAGAAGAGTTTGTCAATTAATAGGGTTTCTCTTCAGCAGCACCACTGCTCACGGAGCCCAGGAGTTGAAAAGCAAAAATAGTCAGACCTGATCATCTTTGCCTAATTTATCAGTTTGACATTTCCTTTGTTCTATTGCTTTCTTGCAGTTGCCACATCACTACCACCTTATCATGTCACAGAGCCCTGGGGACTCAGAAAGGCTGTCCTTGTGAGGCCATAATTGATAGTCATTTATTGCTATCAATACCCAACAGAGGTATATACCATACTGCAGATGAACAGCTAACTGCAGCTACTTTTCAAGAGTATTTCCTACTACAACAAAACAAAACAAAACAAAGCAATAATGTGCTGGCCTGCTATGTCTCATGTGGATTTAAGAGGCAGATGCATGACTTTGCATGTTAAGCTTGAATTCCTCAAAACTGGAGGAGTGTTTATCATCCTGGTTCCTAGAATAAGTTAATTTTTAATTTAAACCTAGCATTTAGAAGTTTTCATGTTTTCTTTCTTTCTTTCTTACCTCCCTTCCTCCCTTCCCTTCCCTTCCTCCTCCCCCTTAGCTTCCCTTCCTCCTCCCCATTCCCTTCCCTTCCCTTTTTTTGGGGGGGTCTTGCTGTGTTGCTATGTTTTCCCCAGCTGGCCTGGAACTCCTGGGCTCAATTGATTCTCTTGCTTTATTCTCTCAAGTAGCTGGGACTACAGGTGTGTCTACCACACCTGGCTTAGAAGTTTGTAGTTGTTTTTGTTTATTATGTAACTGGGGACTTCAGAAATTAGAATTTTGTTTCATTTCTGTTTATACTATGGGTTGATAGTGGTGTCTTTTACCTAGCTAAAGGAGTGCTCTTAGAAATATATATATATATTATATAAAAATATAAATGTACATATATGTAAATGGCTTTTGTAAATTTTTTTTGTGTTTTAACAGGCTTGATAAGTGCTGCTCAACTTTAATGTTCATGTAAAGCATGTGGCAATCTTGTAGAAATGCAGTTTTTGATTCTGCAGATCTGGGGTGGGGACCAGGAGTCTGGATTCTTAGCCAGCTCCCAGTGATATAGAATCACACCATGAGCAGGAAACCTCTAAAAGCTTTTGCTCCTTGAAATATCCCAGAGTGAACTTTTTTATGAGTGGAGATCATTTTGTAAATCAAATAGTAGCCCCCCTAATTTATTTGCTTCATAAATTTATATTTTAGTGCTTACAGGAAGGCATTGTATATACAAGAATTACTACCATATTGAAGGAAAAATAATACAATCAATAGGTAGAATTAGGGTATGGGTAGCATAAAAAGAAAGAACTCTAAACTATGATTGGTTACAGAAAAACTTACTTTTGCTTTAAAATTTGGTGTGAAAGTGCATGGTGGCATACACCCATAAGCCCAGCACTTGGAGGCTGAAGCAGAAGAATTGAGCGTTCCAGGCCAGACTAAGCTACATAGGAAGACGCTGTCTCAAAACACCAAAAAAAAAGAGCATGTGAAACAACATTCATGGGATTCCAAATGAAACTTACAGCTCTCTTTAAAATACTTCAATGATACATGTCACTAGATATCCCATATGTACACAAAAGAGAATATGAGCACTTGTCTGTAGAAGGGTTTTGTTCTTTCTTAAATTAGTATTTTTGGCTTTTTTAAAAATCATATTCAAACTTTTTTTTCTTTTATTATTCATATGTGCATACAAGGCTTGGGTCATTTCTCCCCCCTGCCCCCACCCCCTCCCTTACCACCCACTCCGCCCCCTCCCTCTCCCCCCCACCCCCTCAATACCCAGTAGAAACTATTTTGTCCTTATTTCTAATTTTGTTGTAGAGAGAGTATAAGCAATAATAGGAAGGAACAAGGGTTTTTGCTGGTTGAGATAAGAATAGCTATACAGGGAATTGACTCACATTAATTTCCTGTATGTGTGTGTTACCTTCTAGGTTAATTCTTTTTGATCTAACCTTTTCTCTAGTTCCTGGTCCCCTTTTCCTATTGGCCTCAGTTGCTTTAAGGTATCTGCTTTAGTTTCTAATCTTTATTTGTTAGAGAATGTTACTTTGCACAGAGAAAGATGCTATCTTTCACATGTAAAGACAAGGTGCCTGCCGGCTTCCTTTTAGCTGTATTTACTTCCGGGGTGATGTTTTACATCAATTTGTTTGTGTTGCCTTTTCCCTGGCCCCTCATTACTCATAAACATATTTACAAATGCTCTAACCTCAGAAGATTAATGAGGACCATGGTCTGTGCCACACAGGTGTACTAACCAAATAAACTAATTTCAAGAGCTTCCATTAAAGAGACAGGTTTAAAAGACTGGAAAACAAAGTACATAACATGCATATATGGAAATGCCATGATTGAAACACTTTACCATGTACAATTTAGAATATGCCAATTAAAAAAAGATGAAAGCAGCATACGTGGGGTTTTGAAAGCCGTTCATCTCTACTTCCTGGTGGAATTTGGTAGAAGCCAGGGTGGGACAGTAATGATGTGCCATCTGACTCACTTTCTTTCAGACTTCCGGCCAGTTTGTTACGAGGAGCCCCAGCACTGGTGCTCAGTCGCCTACTATGAACTGAACAACCGAGTTGGGGAGACGTTCCAGGCTTCTTCCCGAAGTGTGCTCATAGATGGATTCACCGACCCTTCAAATAACAGGAACAGGTTCTGTCTTGGACTTCTTTCGAATGTAAACAGAAACTCAACGATAGAAAATACCAGGAGACACATAGGAAAGGGTAAGAGTGAGCTGTCATGCATTGATGCAGTCTTCTGAGCAAAAATGTGGAAATAGAAACCAGGCACGTACTGGCCATGGAGTTTCACAGATAGATCCCAGGGCTGGCGAGCTGTGGGTTGGTTCCGGTGTCACCCTTGGGGAGGACACATGGGTTTTCATAGACCTGTTCTTTTGCTTCTGAAGTCAATAGGCCATCTTTGGGGTGACCTGGGGTGGGTGTTGTGAAGTCAAGACAGGGTAAATATGAAAGTAAAGTGAGATTTTTCAAAGGACACATGGGTTTTTTTGGGGTAGTGCTAAGGTTTGAACTTAGGGCTGTGCACTCGCTAGGCAGGTGCTCTGCCTGTTGAGCCATGCCTGCCCCCCTCTTTTTCCTCTGGTTATTTAGCAGATTGAGTCTTGCTTTTTGCCCAGGCCAGCTGGACCATGCTTCTCCTATTTTATGTTTCCTGCCATCATTAGGATGACAGGTGTGCACCACCACATCCAGCTTTTTTTCTGTTGAGATGGGGTCTTGCAAACTTTTTTGCCCAGGGTGGTCTGGAACTATGATCTTCCTGATCTGAAGCCTCCCACATAGCTAGATTTATAGGCATTTTTGGAGTAGAGTCTCACTTTATGCCTAAGCTGGACTAGACCACTTTCCTCCTATTTGTACTTCCTGGCAGACCTGGGATGACAGGCAGGTGCACCACTGTGCCCAGCTATTATTGGTTAGATGGGATCTCATGAACTTTTTTGCCCAGGCTGGGCTTGAACTGAGATCCTCCCAATCTCTGCCTCCTAAGTAGCTAGGATTGTAGGCTTGAGCCACTACACTATGTATTATTTTTAATTGTTTAATGATGCTAACTAGGATGACTCTGAAGAAGAGGAAGCTGGCTGATCGTTATGATCAGGTGAAGTAACCAATGGAATCTTAGAAGCTAAGTGGTCAGAGGTAATGTCAGACTTAGGTTTGAATGCCGCTGGTAGGTGATGGGGGCTCTCCTGTGTCCTGGTGGTCAGGGTGATAGCTGGTTGGGCACAGCTCTCACTGGTCTCTGACCATTGAGGGTTTTTGAAACTAACCTCACCTATGTGAGTGATGGCATCACGCCCCAGCTGAGTGTGAGGCCAGGTTGAGGACCTTTAAACACTTCCTTTTTCAGGAGTCACAAGTGGAAAGAACCTTTAGTGTTTGATCTTTTCTCTCCCCATCCAGTAAAGCAGCTCTGATCCTTTTCATTGAGATTTCCAAGGGGGAGGGAATTCATTATTTCACTTGGTGGTGCTTTCCAATGTCCTTCCTAACATAGCTCTGACATGCCCCCTGTTCTAGGACCCAGTAAGCCATCAATTAGAAACAGATTGAATCCATTTACTGATGTTGGCTCTTTTATATTATTGTTATTATTTTGGTGGTATGGAGTTTGAACTCAGAGCCTCATGCTTGCTAGGCAGGCACTCTACTTCTTAAGCCATGCCTCCAACCCTTTGTGCTTTAGAATATCTTTCAGATAGGGTCTTGTTTTTGCCCAGGGTTGCTTTAAAATGTGATCTTTCTCCTCTTTGTGCTTTCCACATAGCCAGGATTACAGATTTGAACCACCACACCTGACTTGTTTGTTGAGATGGAGTCTTGCTAACTCTTTGCCTGAACTGGCCTTAAACTGTGATCTTCTTGATCTCTGCCTCCAAAGTCGCTGGGATTACAGGCATGTGCCACTGTGACCTGCTGGTGTCAATTCTTAATGAAGACAATTACTGTATGTTTATTTACCTTCTGTCTCTTCCATAGTGGCTCTGAGGCAGTTTATGGGAAACCTTTTCAGTGAGTTGATAAATGAAAAATAGAAAATCAAAAACTGGGGTGGGGGAAGGAGATAAGAATCCAAGTACAGATTTCCCTCTGAGCCTGTGGGTTCCACATTCACAGATTCAACTCACCTCAAATCAAAAACATTGAGAAAAAAATACTGTGTCTGTAGTGAACATGTTCAGGCAGTTTTTCTTCTGATCATTCCCTAAATCATACAGTGAAGCAACTATCTACACAGAATTTACATCATATTAGCTGCTATAATTCATCCAGAAGCCTCTCAGGAGGCAGAAGCAGGAGGGTCACAAGTCTGAGGTCAGTCTCAGCAAAGTTAGTGACCGTCTCAAAAACAAAAGGACTGGGAGTGTGCTGAAGTTGTAGAGTGCTTGTCTAGCATGTATGAAGCCCAAAAGTTCATCTAGAGATGGTTTAAAGTATACACGAGGATGTGCATAGTTTTATATGCACACATTAAACCATTTAATACAAGGGACTTGAGTTCCATATCTACAATAGATCCTAGAACCAACCCCCAGGAATACCAAGAGATGACTATATGTCACCCATGAGGGTCAATCTTGACAGGCTGTGATTTGCTCTAGGTTTCCTGACAGGGAGGGCAGACAGAGGAAATTCAATCTATAACATAATTTTTCTCCCAAAGTGAGATACATAGCCATTCCTCTAAGGAAATAATACTTTTCCTCTGGTTGAATTCCTTTCTTCCTTCCTTCCTTCCACCCTCCCTCCCTCCCTTCCCTTCCCTTCCCCCCTTTCCTTCCTTTTCTTTCTGCTGAGTATGGAGCCCAGGGGCCTTGTCCCTGCCAAGCAAGTGCTGTACCACCTGTAGCTACACCTTTTTCCCTTTAACTGAATTCTTTTAAACAAGTTTCTCAGGTCTGGCTTTACTTTCAAGTGATTTTTATAAGTATCTGCAGCAAAACCTGAAGACAAAACACTAACAACCCAGCACTGTGAGCTGTTTGCCGAGGGCTTATCAGATGGGGCTGCATCATAGACTTGTGCTGGAGCTGTGGATCCAAAGACAGAATTAAGAACTGTGAAAGGGGTGTAGAATAGGCTCTGGGAACCTTCCTGCAAGTAGCTTGTTCAAGGTGCTACTGACAATGACAAGGGAAGTAGATGTTCTGTGTTCCTGACAAAGAGCAGATCCACAGAAATAACAGACCACATGAGGAAGAGCCAGGCTGATGAGCCCTTCCAAAAGCCAGGATGCCTAGCCTGGTGCTCTCCTGGACAGACAGGCATTCCACTCTCATGTGATCCCTAAAACAAAATCACAGGAGTCTCAGAAAGCTGCTTAGGAATTACACTAATATAAAATATAAGATTTTTTTTAGAGAAACTACAAGGGATGCCATAAAGCATAACAGAAAAAAAAAGGGTTATCTTGCATATTTTAAAGCAAAGGCCATCTGTCTCTTGTGAGATCAGGGGAAGATCTCAGTTGCTGCTGTGGCTTATCTGCTTCTGAACATCGTGGCTTCCTAGGAGGCGGGCCTGGCTAAGGTTGCTGCAGAATGTGCTCCTGGGTTAGCAAAGAAGGGAACTTACTCTGTGGAGTTATAAATAATAGAGACAAATTTTGGAGGTATGCATTCATCTCACAGATATTTACTGAGCACCTGTTCTCAGCCAAACTGGATACCAGGGATAGGGCAGTAAAAGACAAAACCTCCTGCTTTCATGGATTATGCATAGCTAGGGAGACAATTTATATGTGCATCAAATAGAAAAAGGAAATTTATGTATGTCAAATAGAGAAAGACCAAGCAGAGGAAGAGAAGAGATGGGGGCAGGTGCTGTACTTAGAGCAGCATTGCTAGTTAAGGCCTTCCCTAGAACGTGACATTTGAACAGAGAGCTAGCCAGGGAACTAGCAACAAGGACATCTGGGAGAAAAGTTTTCTAAGGAGAGGAAACAGCAAATGCAAAGGCTCTGAGCTACCTGTCACAAGAGGATAAGCAGCGTGTGGGGAGCAGAGGAAGAAGGCGGGACCAACAATCTGGAGCCCTGAGGCCATTTTAAGGGCTTTGGCTTTGACTTTAGGAAATGGACAATAGAATTGAGGCCAAGGAGTCCATACAATCTGACTTTATATTAAACTTTCAAAGGATCCCCTGGCTGCTGTATTGAGATTACTCTGTGGAGAAAGGAGGAGACAGAAATAGATGTCTACATGTTTTTTTTAAATTATAGTTAGCAATGACAATGAACCATTTGTCTCCTCAGAAATGATTGGTTAGCTTTCAGGCCACTTTGGTTTGTGATCCTGGTTACTTAAAATTAGTCAAGTTGGCTGGTCCTCCCAAAGGAGGTGCGCACTGGGAAGTGCATGCACTTTGGATTGTGTTTGCTCTGGCAGAATGGTTTCTGCTGACTCAGCCAAGCTTTCTCACCTGGCTTCCCATCTCCTGGGATACACTGTGAGGCAGTGTGGTTGGTACAAAGCATGTATTAGTTGCTGTGCAAAAGGAATGGAACCCATTACTCCTGCCTTTACTAGCAAAATGCTTTAAATAGCTACAATTAGACTAAAGGTCACCACTTTAATATCACAGGCAGCACCTCAAAGAATCAGGAATGCCTAGTTCTAATATAGGATCTGTCCACATTCTTCCTCGAAAATTAGGCAGAGCACTTGAACCAGATGCATGCTAAATAATAATAAAATGATGACAATGATGATGATGATAGCCATCTATAATAAGTGAGGTATCTGGAATGTACTTTAGCTGTATATTTTTTGAGACAGGATCTTGCTATTTGCTATGTAGCATAGGGTGGCTTTGGAATTCACAGTGCTCCTGCCTCTACCTTCTGAGTGCTGGAGTTGCAGATTTGTGCCACCATACCTGGTTTACCATACTGTTTCTCATCCTTAGAGTTACTGTAAGCTAGGCTCTGTTAGTCCCATCTTACAGATGAGATGACTAGAGCTCAGAGGGTTTGGCTGGTAGCTTAACACATGGTCAGCCCAAGGTGCCACAGATTCACACCCATCACCCAGCTGCTCCCCCTGCTCCCTCCTGTCTTTTCATCTTGACACACTTCACGGTGCCTTCCTAACAGAACCAAATCTTCCAATGAAAACACCTATCGTCTCTACAGTAGCGGTGTGCTCTAATCAGCTCTGTGGTGCTGAATGAAAGTCTTGCTTACAATATAGTGTTGA